GAATACACAAGAATACACAAAATACGTAACGCGGAGTGAAATTTTTTCTTACCTTCAGCGTACATTGTCGAGTTGTCCACGGTAGAGCTTCTGTGGAGCGTGGTTCCCGCAGTTGTCGCTGCAACAACGCAAGAACGATCACAAATCAAATCAAATCAAATCAACTTTATTGCTCAACAACTGTAGCTGGTACAATGTATGGAAAGGAAACAACAATGGTACATACATAAACTAATACTAAGATATAATTCTAACGAGCTAGTAATGATACTAAAGCTAATCTATTGTGTTTTCTTAGGAAGAGTATTATTACATTCTGTAATTCAGGGGATATATCAGTTATTTACAATCTGGTGTCACATGATGATAACGTTTCATTATTAGTTCATCCAAACCTTCTTTAAAGAAATACACAATGACACCAGAGGTGGTCCTGCTAAAAACAAACTTAGGACCTATAGACTGTTCAAATTGGCCTACAGTGAAGAACAGTACCTAAATATCGACAACACACGGCACAAAAACGCCGTCACAAAACTACGCATCAGCTGCCATAAACTGCACATTGAGACCGGTCGACATAACCGCACTCCCCTGGAACAACGTATTTGTCGATACTGTAATCTAGATAGAATAGAAGATGAACATCATTTTGTAGTAGAATGTAGTTTGTATAACAGTGCGAGAATTGAACTTTATAGACGAATAACATCGATGTTTCCCCACTTTACACACCTAAGTAATACAGACAAATTCACTTTTTTAATGAACTTAGACAAACCCTCGATCCTTAAACTTGTATGCTCTTATCTTTTCAACATCACAGAGAAGCGAAGAGAAGTCGAAATTATGTAACAGACTGTAGTGCTAGTACTAGATTGATCTTGTTATGTATATATTTGTGTATTCAAGTCAACCTTTGTACCTAACCCAGTGGGTATGTTTGTACAATAAAGGTCTTCATTATTATTATTATTATTAATATTCATGAGCACGGTTTTTGTGATGCACTGTTACTGTACATCAACTTACTGGTTAGTACAGTAGTCCATATTTTTGTGCGGAACAGATCGGTATAAATCCCATCGTTATGTCATGTTTTTTTACAAAGTTGGGTTTCGTAAAAGTGACGAGAAAACGATCGAACCAGAATCTGTAATCGATTCGAAGCCCTATTATTCCCACAAGACGGTGTGAATCACTGAGGGAAAATTTGAATATTCATAATTGTGAACTTTCCCACAACCACAACTGCTGCCTTCTACAAAATGCGATGGTTACTGGAACACTATCCTGAAAACAGTGTCTTTTTCTTAAAAAATCAAGGACAGATTTGGAATTGAATTATGACAGTAAATTAGGACACTGCGTAGATAATAACAGTTACATGTGTAGTAGCCTTTCAGTGTGCTAATAAGTCCAGCTAGACAGTGTAGTGTCCACCTTTTTTTTTTATCAAAGTTGCATCATTTATAGAAATGTTGCTGAAAAAGCTACATGTATGTAGATGCATTTATTGATGTTTGGTGATATCCAAGAAAGTCAATATTCCTGAAAAAAATATCTCCCAAAGAAAGTTACATGTATTTGTTTACTTGTCAGTTGTGGCCTACATGAACACACATGCCCTAAATACTGGAGATTACATAAGACCTGGGATGAAACTCAGTTATTTGGAGTTGACTACATGGGACATGTCCTAGCTTGTTATTTGCGTGCCTACTCAACAAATTTTGAAAATGAAACTGCTGTGTTTCAGAGAGTTTCATTCCCAAGTTTTATCTGTGTAACTGAATTGTATTGGTTGAAAAAAAAAGCCTTCCCGGTAGAGGGTGTCTCTAACAGACAAGATCACAAATATAGATATCAGCATGTTCTTCTGTCATGTGTAAAGAAATTAGTACTCAGTAAGCTGTTCTCTCAAAGTTGTGCTCAGTCTCACAGCTGACAGAAGTGGGTCGTTCTACTACGTGCAAGCTGGATTTTTTCTAGGTCTATACTGTTATGAAACATGTTGTTATGAATACCCATCTTTTATTGCATGGAGCCTTCAAGGAAATGCTATGAATGGGTAAACTAATCCAACAAATTTTACCTAACCTTAGGTTACTGGCATAGCAGTGTGTGTAGCTTGCCAGTGCAAGATGCCTTCCATGTTATTTTTTTCCCCTAGCTACGCTAGGTCATTCTCACCTTCTAGGTCCAAAGTCCAGTACCTGATGTAATCTCACGCCAACGAACCTGCTTAGGTTGCATGTCTCCTGGTTTTCCCCTGTAGCACAAAGGGGTTGAAATAGTGCATTACACTACAACATGTCAAAGGTCAGCACCGGGCCTCCCTTCCTGAAAACAACACAGGAAAAACAAGCGTGTTTTTGTTGCTGACACATCACTGTTTTTTGTTGTAGCCTGTATTGTAGGGAAAGGTCACTGGCCTGTGTAACTGTGTTGTATGTTGGCAAGTCAGAAACAGAATTAATTTTATGGGCACCATTACTTTACACCTAGTGAAGTATTGTAAAATCATTATGAACCAGATTACCAACACATACATGCTATTTTCCACAGCTTTGTTGTTTTGGTATTGGCTGCAATAGAAGGTTGAACCACGTCTCTTACACAAGGTTTACTTACCGTTGGCCCACTCTGTGGTACTTGACGGTCAGCTGCAGTCGTTGCTAGTGTTGAGTAGGTTGTCTGAGGGTAACAACCTGGTTTGTATGCACAGAGAGGGAAGGTTAAAATTTTTCCTGGTTAGCAGGGATTCTTGGGATTCCAAGCAGGCTGTACTGCACACTAAGGACACCAGTGAAGTCTTTTTCTATGCATTTGCTGCATGGAAAACCTATGTTGTTGAATGTTCAGTACAATGTGCTACCCGATTACTTTGAACAGTATTTCAAATCTTGTATTTTAAAATCTCTATCAGTAATCGTGACTTGCGGATTTGCAAACTTGTCTTTTTATCCAAGCTGGCTTTATTCTAGATCGTTGTGAGAGCTAGTATAGCTGCTATGGGGCAGTGTAAACCTCAGGTGGCATCAGCATATGTGTGTGTGCAAAGATTTGGTACTGCTGCTGTCAGCCTGTACTGCAAGTTGTGGCATTGTGCCAACCCCTTGGTTTTTGGCTTCATCTATCAAAATCAAACCAGGTATGACAACAAAAAAAGAAGGTAGTAAATGGTATTTTTTCTGGGATTAAATTTTTTGTAGTGTCCGTTGCAGCAGACAAACAGGAATGGATAAAAATGCAGGGTCAACGGAAGGAAGACCTGCAATTTCTTGTTTTCCACGATTGCTGCAACCTTCTGATGATTACACCCCTGTGACATCACCCACTGGCTGCCCATAAAAGGGCAGGCCGAGATGCCACCCCTGGATTGTGTGGGACAGGTTTTCCTCCCCCTGATGATGTCATGCAATCTGCCTGGATCAGGAATGAACTGCACCGCTGGGGTGGTGGCATTTCACTCTCACTGTTTTGTAACAAAGAAAGGTTAGGGACTAGCTTGGACGTGCGTTATTACCACAGTAGTAGACGTGCATGGAAACACGTACTCTGAAGAATTGGTATGGCTTTGTCCAGCGTATTTTCCATGTTTTATCTATCAGTTTTCCCCTGTTTAAAAAAAACAACAAGAAATATGTGATGATAATTGGGAAATTAGTGCAGATTTTGTGGAATTCATGGCACATCATTCCTAAAATGTCCTTGTCTTTACCTGGATCATGTCAGTCTGATCCTTGACCCGTTTTTCTATGAAATGGAAACTGCTTGCATTTGGCTTATTTCTCTGTGGTGGGGAAGTTTTGCTGCTGTTGTTTTTCAAGTCAGTGATCTAGTAAGCTAGATGTGTTGGTATTTTCCAAGCATGAAACAAAATGCTGATTTGCACATTTGTACAGTATGTAAGCTAACATTTTTCTTTTCTTTTCAAATTTGAGATAAAATTTTGTTTTTACTGTATTCCACTATGCTATAGTGACAACTATGATGAGATGCAAAGCATTTTTGCCAGGCTAAAACTGTTTTTCAAACCCTTTTAATATCTTCCTTGGAGATGATAGAACTGTGAAATGCTGTGGATTTTTATCATCCATATGTGTCAAAGTAATGGAGTGCTCTTTTGAAATCCATTACTATATTTATTCACATATTATTTGCTTTTACTGCTAGTGAACACCAATTTCATTGACTGATTGTTTCCATAAAATTATTAAGGTTGATTATTGAATATCTCTTAGTAATGAATGTTGTATTATTATTGATATTTGGAGCTCTCCCTAACAACATCTCACTTTTCCAGGTCTGCATGTTAGGCGGTGATCGAAGAGGAACAAAGCGAAAGCTAACCACGATGGCAGATGACCCAGACGACCTGGCTGGCCACAAGACCCTGGGTCTCCCCTATGCAGCGGAGCGGCAGTCCTGCTTCCGGATTTCCCTGGTCAAGCTGCAGGCAGCTCAGCGGCTCATCGAGCCCAGCCTCAGAAGATCGGTTCTCATCTGCAACACCCTCAAACACATTGAGGATGAACTGAGAGCGGAGGGGAACCTGGGCCTGCTCCACAGCGCGTACGCCTTTGCGACGGGCAACACGCCGGCATGTGCGCCACCCACACCCATCAGGCAACCTGAGCCCATGCCTCTGACTCTGAACGAATCTGCAGCCGAGGACATTGCCTCCTACATAGAGGATCTGAACAATGATTCTGTGCAGAGCAACAAGGAGGAGAGAAGGAAGACGACGACAAACAAGCTCGGCTGTGCCACAGTAAACCAAAGTACGACGGGGTCACCGACTGAGACAGCCAAGGACCACACTCCCAGCTGCATGACCCTGACCAACACACAGCTCCGGATACAGTCCACCAACCTCAGTGCAAACACTGCGCCGCAGCCAGACTCCATCAACCTGGACGAAATCTTCTCCGACCTTGACAATTCCCTGTATGACCTTGACTTCCTCACGCCATACACCGCAAACATCAAGCTCACGCCGCTGAGCGAGGACGACGTGTCCAACTCCTTCGGCGGCGGCACTGCGACCTTCGCCACGACGCACCAAGTAACAACCAACCAGACCTGTCGACAGAACGAAGAGTGGAACGAACTGGACCACATAATGGAGGTGCTGGTCGGCATGTAGCATATACTAGTACCTTTCCACCCTACCCAGAGAGCAAAAATTTTGATACTACCAGAGAGTTCTATATTTTGGATGGTACAGAGTATTTATAAGTGCCTGACAAGATGCCAGAGGTTATTGTTGTGGGAAAGGACAGGTGCAGGAGAGGCCACTTAGGTGACAATAGGTCAGGGGTCACTCCTGCATCTGTCCCCTCCCCTTTGGAAGGATAAATGTAAGTTATTACTCTATTTATTGGGAAGAGTGAGTATGAAAAAAAACTGCAATGGAAAGTAGAATGCAAGTGTATTTCCCTGTGAGAAGTATTTTATATATATGAGAGGCTATTTCTATCAAGTCTAAGATGTGTATGAAAGCTAGGATGGTTGATGATGTGTTGATATGCGTTGTTCCCAAGACTGTGAATGGGACAACAGGAAACTTTAGGCTCTGAGAATCGCAGACTGTGGATCAGTCAACACCCTTCTTCCAGGATCAAATCTTGTACAGATATTATAAAACATAATGTCCCCTTATCACACGGATCACATAAGGCATCAAACCAGAAGCAAATGTGTCTTACAAGTTATACAGGGGAGAACTCCCTTGTACTGCCTTTTTCATCTTAAGCCTTTGGAAGGTATGGGTATGTATGATAAGGGGACTTGGCCATTTGATATCAAAATGTGCAAAATCAGTTGCTTGAATTCTTTATCATGTTGCAACAATTTTCAGTGCATGTTGGTAAATATGCCTAAGCTTGGCCTGTTGTTCATTCAGGCCAGTACTGATGCAGGGCTCAAAGCCATGACCTGCTCGGTCACTTAAGTATGTCTCAACTACAACTCAAACATCTCACACAGAATGTCCTTGGAACACTTCTCCTACCTGTTCCACTCCCTCCTCTAAACATTTGTCATCAATTTTGGCAGCTGAAATGAAGGTCCTGTGGTGGACAAATTCCGTAGGTTACCAAACAAGATATGTATGTCAGTAGATACATAGATAGATATTGTGAAAATCTTTGAGTAGCCATGATAAAGTAAGATAGATAACGGACAGGGGAGGCCAGGGTGCTCATGCCCTCACCTGGTGCCAAAGGTGTGTCCCATGAAGTCCATGGAAAGTCCATGTTCTGAGGAGAAAAGAGTTATGAAGAAATTTAAACCAATTGTTATCACCAAATGCAATGTCATCAGATTTTCCTGGTGCTGCAGCTGGAGGGCTGGGTCATACAAAATGTCTTCTCTGCTCTCCACACACATTTTAGATCAGACTTAACCTTTAGGGTCATTCAAGATTTGGCTTGATGTCAAGATTGGGAACAAAGGTGTTTCTATTTTTGTACTTGAACTGTTTAGAGACTGGAACATTCCTGGAGTTAGATCTGAAAATGTGACACCTTAGTATGGAAACACAGTTTAAATAGCATGCAGAATGCCAGTACAGTATAGTGTGAAAAGAAATATGTTGCAGTAGATTGGAGAGATGATAAGCTATTTATTGGCTGAAATGTACTTCTCTAAGCCCAAAGAGGAAATAGTCCAGCTTTGTTAGAAATTGATGTCTTCTGTAATTTATATCGCAAGTTTTGTAAGACTTGGTGCATGTGAGCACAGAAAGCCAGAAGCAGTAGAATTTTCTTGAAGCCAAAGAAAAGAGGAACGCAAATGTGCGGCAAAATTTTACACAGTAAAATTCAGTTGATGAAATTTTGAACTCTGAAAAGCTATCGATCAGAAGCAAGATTTTGCAAATCATCTGTTCCAAGCATTATGGACAAGGAAGTGGCCTTCAAACTGTTCTCAAGGGCACAGAAATTTGAATAATATGTGGACTTTCGAAAGTTCCTCCCTGATGATTCATGGTGTGATGTAATCTGTAATGATTTCCTCTCCGTGCCAAGACTCAGCCCTTCTGTCTGCACCAACAGGAAAACAACCCAGTGATGATCAGCTCGGGGGCAGAACGTACTCAACTGTGCCTGCGCGAAACTCAAAATTTTCACAGTTTTCATTGGATGTTTGGTCAACATTGCGTCAGAATTTTGCCTGTTGCAGATGATATTTTTTCGAACACAACATTTGAAAACTATACTGTACAGGATGTCATCCTTGAATACGAGAATGCCACCTTAAATGAGATGTTTGGCCAACGTGCTATGCACAGTACATTACGGGTTTCTCGCAGGTGCAGTACGTTCTGCCAACGTGCTGTGATGATCCCTCCTATCAGCTGATTAAGTCTGCAGTTAGCCCCACATCCAGGCGACCCATGCTTTCGATGGGTTCAGATCTTGAGAATAATTTCTGCAATAATATATGAAAGGTTGATTGTTTTTACTGTCGACTCACACAAAACAGTCCTTAAGCTTGCATACATGTCAGTATGTCAAGTGAATAACACCTTCTGTCCCACTATCTCCAAAGGTGTTTTTGTCTGTACATTTATTGTGCTCTCTGGAGCAATCATGACAAGAAATCAGACTTTGAAGGAGGCCATGAGGGTTCTTTACGATGAAATTGTTGTATATAGTTAAATAGAATAGGAACAAACTATTTATCGTTGTTAAGATGGTCTGTCCAATTTTTTTAGTATCACATCATCAATTTGTGAAGAGATTATCATATATATATGTAAATGCCTTGAGACAATAAGCACAGTTTTGTTTTTAAACTGTTCTGTCAAAAACCTGTATGTATCAAAAACTCCATGAATTTCCTGTAATCTGTCCTTTCCACTTTTTATAATTTTGTACATTCTCATAATTTGATTAAGATTATTTATGCATTTGTAAATATGAATTGTGACATAGAGTGAATGTTACAAATGTCTGTGAGCTGTTGCTATCATCTGCGTCAGGCCAATTCAATTTTATTGATTGGTTGCCACATCTTCTGAATGTCATTGAAGCAAGACTTTGTTTTCTCAGTGCAAAAAAGAAGCACAAAAATGTACTTATATGTTATTGTACCCAGTCCTGAAGAATGTACTAAGTTTGTTCTGTTTTGCTTTGCTGTGGCGAGTTTTGCTAGGAAATTGTAGCCTTGGTAACATCCTAGTTAGTTTAAAAACACCAGGGGTAAATGCATTCCCTGGTAAACCGGCCAGGATGGCACCCAGGCTAGGAAATTTTCATTGCCAAGCAGTTAAACCAGAGCATCCTAGGACTTCAAACAATTCCTCCAAACATATGCCAGCTTCTGTGCAGATAGCTTTTCCAACACAAAAATGTCTGTGCTTTTCAGAACAAAATTGACATCTATGCAGTGCATGCAAGTGAAGGCTTAGTGAGTCTCATATTACAGATAAGAAAGAAATGGATGGTAGATACTTACGTGTGTGCACTGCAAGCCCCAGGAGCTGATTACATGTGTGGCCAGCTCTTAGCTTGGGTACCAGGCAGGTTAGTTTATGCTTGCTCCAATAGCCTCAGCACCAACTAAGTGCTGTGATTGTTGGAGCCAAACCGGGATGGTACCCAGTCTAGCCAGCTCTTACATTCCTGAACCAAAGAAGCAAAACCATGTGTAGTACAGACAAGAACCTTTCTGGTGTAACATTACTATTACTACTGTTTCCTGGCATCATGTGCAGTTGGGACCTGCCAAGGATGAAAGTGATCTGAAATGGGTCTTGCTAAGGACTCTTTCAAGTCATGTGTATTTGTCAGAAGGGTGTTCCATCATGTTTGTTGTCACATGACTTTGTTGCACAGAGTACATGTATTTCTCAAGATTATGAAGAAGGATTGTGGAATATTTGAAGAATGTGAGAAGGAAACACTATGCTGTGTTGTGTTGTGTTGTGTTAACCCTTGGCATCATTGCCTACTTGGGTTGCAATAAACCCCCAACTTTCTGTAACTTCCAATTTTCTGTCAAGGGCTTACAGATTGGGAGTCTGAAATGTATGTTTGGATGGGAGCAAGCAATGTTATACTTCAATGCAATGTCCAAGACTTCTGTACCAAGTACACTTATGTCACGCTTTGTGTAATATTGTTCTGTAAACAATATTGTGTGTCTTGCCAATGCAGCCCAAAATTCTACAAACAAGTGCATTTCGACAAGTGCATCCCGGAAGTTCCAAACATGAAACCTTTCTCAGCTCGAAGCTCAGACAGTTGGAAAGAAAACATTCTGTGATGGGTACATGTGAAGTCTTTTATATCCCAAAGGGAACGGATAGCTGTTGAATGTTGTCGGCGTCCTTCCCACTGGCCAGTACTGCAACAGGGCCAGTCTATGCAGAACCGTTATGTGTTTGTGTTGCAGCTATGAATATATTATGATATCCTTTTTTCTCAATAAATTTCGTCCAAAGGCTATAGACATGCGTTTGGTATTTTATTGACATTGGGTTTCAATTGTTCCGGTAAAGAACATTTTATTTTTCAGGGAGAGAAGACTATGTGAAAAACATGGGCGTGGCAGTTATATAATAACCTGAAAGCACAATGAAAAACACGAACACTGGAAGGAGTTGTTTGTTACACAGTTTGAAGATTGAGATAAAATAAGTACATTTTTTCGCGTGGGCCTAACAGTTATATAATGATTTGAAAAACAACATGCAAAACACGAACTGTGAAATGAGGTGTTTTGAATAACAGCGTTATGAAATAAGTAAAGTGTAGGCAATAATTGGCAGTTTATTTCTCAACGAGCATTTCGAGTGGCTCATTATACACGGTGACTAGCAACGCGGGTTCAAAAACAGCCAAACAGGGAGAATAATTGGCCAGGGGAGTCTAGCCCCCGTACTCTCCTAGCAGAGGTTTCGGTTTACTGTATTTTTGACGCGTTTTTATGTTAGGCATTTTTATTGGGCTTTCTTTATTTGCACTGGTATTTTTTCTTCGTCAGCCAAACAAATAGTGGCAATTGGTAACTGCCTGGCAAATGGATATATAGTCTGCCTGGCGAATTTGAGGTCCAATTGATATTGTCTTTGCAGTCACCAAAAGATCTGCTTGAAGACTATTTAGCTATCGTACAGTTCATTTGCCTGGCCAATTACTTCCATTTTTGTCCGACTTCTACGATCCACACACCCGTAGAGGAGGCTAGCAGCCAGAACCGCCCACCACATACAGGTTTGGGATCGCGCCACCTGTGCAAATCCTCAGCCCAGCGTTGCCCTGGCGACGTCCATGCATCTTCCCACCTCGGGCGACCAACTCAAACACCGTCGGGGTGCCACTGTTCACGTGGCACGGGCGGCCTGCCTGCCTGGTCTGTACCGCTGACAGGTGCACGTACTGACAGCTGAGGACAGCCTAGCTAGAGTTCACGGGGAGGTGGCCTGGAGGAATAACGTCTTATGTAATCTCCAAGCAGACCTTTTGGTGGCTGCAAGACATTATCAAATTGGCCAGGCAGTACATGTACTACATCCATTCGCCAGGCAGTTATCATTTGCCACCCTGCCGTTAAAAAAGATGACAGTACACGCACAAAAGGGAGTACGTCTTATGTAAGTTAAGGAGCAATGGTGGAATGTAATAGAAGGAGAAATGAGAGCCTACGTGGCCTTATGACACTGTCCTCACCTACACGCCATAGCAAAAAGCCTTGGAGATGAATATAACGTTACCTAATGTGTCATTTCGGGTGAAATGTTATACAAGATTCCAAACTACGAGTCTTATAAAGAATAATGATGTGTTTGACCTTGCTTTGGGCTGTTCCATTTTGAATGTCTGAGAGGGGACGACCAGTTGAATTTTACCGTGAGTAACACAACAAAAACATGCGATATCTATTAGATGTAGTGGGACGGTGTAAAACCTCTTTACAAACGTACAAACACAAGAGAGGAGGCCTTTGAAAATCCACTTTCTCATCCTTTTGATGATACTGCAACATATGCTAAGCATATGTCAAATATACACAATGCAATGAAGAAGTATTCCGTGTGTGAGTCATTTCAAAACCCACACATAACGTTACGCCTTGGCCGGGTTGCTGTCTGATCCCAGTTCTACACGACCTTCACTTTCTAGAAGTCCAACAGGTTTTCTTGACATGGGTAATACTTTGTATTCTCATTGATATTCAAGTCACGTTGTATTTGCACAGTAAACCCAAGCAGGTTTTATAATAACCTCATTGGCACAACGAAATAAAGAAGAAATTCAAGAGTGCTGCGAACGCCAGAAGTGGACTGTAGGTAAACGCTATTACATTAAAAACGAAGAAGGGTGAAGAGGAACCTCGCTCTCGCCTCACCCGTGATTTGAAATACCCTATACCATTGTCGTTATTCCCGCCCCTTTAATACGAAATCAAAAGCTCCACCATAACACAAGGTTTGCTTTCGGCATTGATGGTCTCCCAGCAATAACATGAAGTCCTCTAGCGTAATGAAGTAGAACTGCATGCAGTTGGGTTAAAAAACCTTCTGTCCCTCTTGTCTAGTTTTCACTCCTTTTTGATTTTGTTATACCCTAATTAAAAACGGGCAAGTCCAGGTTTGGGCCAGGTTTTCACTCAGGATAGCAAGGAGGTTAAGTCCTCCTTGAGGATAGGAAGAACTCGCCCAAAATGATTAACGCCGTCAGCGCACTAGTCTACGAAGGATGAGCGCTACAGGAGGATGCTTGAATAAAAAGATCGAAGATGTATAGCTTGAGATTGTAACTGTTAAAGGGACGGCCAGGCTAAAATTTAAATCTTCGTAACTCAAAAAAGCGAATACCACTCTTTTCTTCAGCAACTTCGCAGGTTTTTTTTTTTACCTGAAAATGCAGCATACGTATTTGGCGAATTTCCAGTCATGATAGCAGAAGTCCAACAAGACCGTGCCTCCTGAAATTAAATACCCGTTCGTTGATCAATTCGCACTGATGGTTAAAGGAATTATTGCACGATGAAATTGCGCCTCCTAGCGGCCCTCCCCTCGTTACACCAATCAAGACCTGGACCAGACAATTAAGCTACGTACTATTCTGGACTGGTACAACTTAACTGATCTAATGTTCACATCATGTTTGGATTGAATTTTGACAAGTTATTAAAGTTTGTTAATGTGGCTGTTCAAAACAGATGGCATGTCTGATCAGAAGTGGCTAAATAATAATGAAATTTATTGCTTAACAATTGTACACCGTGACAGTACATGGTACAATGTATGGCAACAGCTATTGAACACCAATACTACTAATATCTATTAGAACAAAATACTATTGATAACAGTATATGAGTTAGATTATCATCATGTACGAATGATCTCTCTCTTGAAATGAAGTACAAAGAAACTGATGAATACATATGTATATGGATATGGGAGTTGAGAGATGAAGAACTGTGTCATGAATCCACACAAAACTGGAGACCATGAAGTTTTCTTACAGACTTTATTGTCTTGCACTTGCCACATTGTGATATCATATACAGGAACACTGAGTTAGAAGGCAGGGCACGGCATGTACAGTAGGTATATGACATCATTACTTTACATGTATGACAAGTAGTAACAACGGTTCTTTGTTAGAAAGCTGCAATGTGCAGCCTTCCACGTAATACTCTCACCAGCTTCTCACTTGAGTTCAGGGTAACATTTTCCAAAATGATAGAAAATTCACATTTAGAAGGTATATAAGGGTATAAGTTATATCTATATCATGTAGCATTTTCCCCAAGATCTGCCGACGATGACATGAACAGTGCTTACTTCTATAACTGTGTGTCAAGCTGTAAGGAAGTTTCAGACACCTTTGTGGTCACGATTCCTAGGTACAGTACTTCATGTAAGTATATCCAAGATTCCCTTGAATACCCTTAGCATAAAGCCTGAGTCAATAAAAAAATGTGGCACCATAGTGTTATGAAGTTAGGACTTTCTCTAAGCCAGCATATTTTACATACATCAGTACATTTTAAGTAGAATTATTTATGCACTACATACACAAATTTCACTATATAATCATCACCTCATCAAATTGAAATGTTACCAAAGGAAAAAAAGAATAACAAGTCCTTTACATGAACTTTGGGGTCAAATGGTAACAGAAGCACCTGGTAAGAGAAACAACTTGAAAATTCTACAGAACAGAGAACAATCACTTCCTTTACAGCTGTGGAATATGCCACTAACTGGTGAACAAAAAGCAAAATCAAAAGGTTGATTCTCATAGAATTCATGAATCAGAGTTGCAGTGGTGATGACTAGACCACAAAAACATTCATCTGTCAGTAATACAACATATAAACTGCACCATAGTCCATTTCTCTGTACAACTAATATATATCTGCACATATGATGCACTTCGTACTGCAACATTAATTACCAAACAGTCCAATAGACACCTTTATATTTGTTAGTATTACCATCAATACTGTTCTGTATGATAAAACTGTAGCAAATGCAGCTATACATTATCGCTAGCATGAAAAATTACACTTCTGCTGTTCGATTTCAATGGAATGATACAAATTCATTTCCAGACTTTAGTTTTCCACACTGTGGATGGAAGTACTATCTCACTTTATTACTTTTCGACAAGCAAATTTCACTAGCAATGAACAGTCCTGTATCATGATATACTAGTACTAAAGACAAACCCTAAAACTTATTCCAATCAAAACTGAAGTGACTTTAACATGAGGACTTCATGGACAGTCATTGGTGTCAACTGTATACCAAAACGAGTGGCACCTTATTTTACCATTCCATATGTAGTGTACCCAATACATTGCTTTCGTTGGCATATCCTTGTCTCAGATAAAAGGGACATTTCAGCTGCATGACAGCAAACTTACTAGACTGACAGATTTCTACTCTTTACAATCAAGGTAAAATGCATTATTCGGTAGATTCACCTCATGATAATAACTGCTGATCCTCTACGGGTCTAGACATTTGACTACAACATTTCTACAGCACAGCTGGAATGAGACAAGCATACCTGGAGAACAGGACTAAACGCTCACATTCCTTTCAGTGAAAGGTACTGGAGAACTACTAGTAACAGGATGTTCCAGACCAACATATAGCAAATGTATACAAAACATCTTGTTGTTTAACCACACTTTTCAGATGCTGGCTCCTCTACTAGCATGCGACTATCATCAAACATTATGGCGATGGGTTCAATTAAGTTACGCAATAGAATTCTTGAAAATGTCCACTGTGGGAGAAGTCTTAATACACTTACTAAACTGCAGCAGAAATTTCATTCTGCTTGTCTCTACTTAACACTATTAATATTCACATACATATACATGTATATTGATTCATTTCATCAAAAATGTTATGAAAACATACATCGTCTCTTTTCATCATTTGGCATTGTGGTGTAAACATTACACATGTATTCCTAACTCAAA